CTGCCTCTGTGGATGATTTTGAGACGGTGGGCTGCTTCTTGGATTTCCAATAAATTAAATTAGGACCCAAAAAGATAGCAAAGCCAGTAGTGGACCGTGAGCTATCAGGACATCCAGCTCAGTCTGCATCAGAATAGGCAACAACACATGTGGGTCGAGTAGAACGCTGTAGCCACAACCCATGATCACGGGTCCCCTGCAAGTACCTGAAAATTCTTTTGACTTCAAGTAGATGAGTAGTACGGGGGGCATGCATGAACTGAGAAACTAAGTGTACTGCATAAGTAATATCTGACCTTGTCAAAGTTAAATATTGTAATGCACCTATCATGCTGCGATACTCAGTAGAGTCCGCCAGTAACTCACCATCAGAAAGAGACAGAGTAGTACGAGAAGCTAATGGTGTGCGAATGGGTTTAGCCGTATGGAGATGAAAACGTGTTATTAGATCAGAGACATATTTGTGTTGAGAGATAAAGAGACCTTTAGGAGAACGAACTGCCTCAAGACCCAAGAAATAATGGAGATTACCCATATCCTTCATGGAAAAATGTTTAGAAATAATAGAGATAAACTTGGTAACGGTAGACTCAGAGTTGCCAGTAATAATAATATCTGATGGTCCCGGATAGGGTAAAAGTCTAGAGCGGGGGTGAATAGACTTTTAAATCTTTTTCAACTTTAAAGCGTTTTCCCTCTAAAGAGTTGATCTATAATCTTTTGAGAGATTTATAGATGCACAACGGAAGTCTTTACCCTTTATGTAATCAGTGTATAACTACTTTCTAACTTGGAGAAGGTTTGACTTAGATAGCTCGCAGTTGACTTGGCAGTTGGCTTAGCAGTTGGCTGGGTAGCAGGGAACTGATGAGGCAACTGCTAGAGAAATATTGGTTTTATGACGAAAGAAATTATAGAATATTGTTTAGAATGATGACGGTTGTCTGAAGAGATGCTCTGGTTGGAGTAAAGCAAAGTTTTATTGGAGCAGTGGTTTCGGCAGTTGGATGGTAATGAGGGAACAGCTGACCGATCTGCTTAGGTTATAAGAAGATTTTCAGAGATCAGTTTAAGCAAAACTTCTTATTGATGATGTTATGAGATTTTGGTGATGCTGAGATGTTCAAGGAAAACGAGTGTATATGAGCAGAGGGCTCAGCAGTTGGGTGGTCACCACGTTACTGCTGAGGCACCTGCTACACTTAGAAAATGAATTTCTGGAAACTGATAGAACATGACTTTTAGTGATATTGATGCACGTCTCTTGTGTGAAAATGGTCTCAAAGAAAGTAAGTAATTAAGCAGTAGGATAAGCAGTTGGGTCAGTTAAGACAACTGCTTAGGATGCTGCTGGCAAACTTCAATCTTTTTGTAAGAAGTGCTAAGTGTGTGCTTTGTTGAGTAAATGTAAATCAACACACATTGTATCCTGGTTCAGAGGTGGTGTAATCCTCCTACGTCCAGTCTCACCCTCTTTCAGATGGATTTCACTAAAGTATTAAGCCCAATACACTTAGTGCCAATCTAGCCTTTACAACATGTAGGCCTAGATTGAAGGTTTTTCACAGTGAGTATAGCATCACTCAAAGTTACTCAGTCCTTAGATTTTTCTCAATTAATCCAGTGGGGATTAAAGGGTACTCTATCTATCTATCCACACCTTAGGATCCGAACAACAGTTCTCCTAAGTGTTTACAACAATATGTGAAATGTTACAAGAAAGTTCTAACCTCCAACTAGGAACTAAACTTCTATGATTTAACAATGAAAAGCTTATAAACTGGAAGTTTAGTGAAGCATGAGTCCAAGCAGAGAGTAAAGTTTAGAATAGCACTTTCTCTTTTGCTGGATAGCTCGTGAATGCTCATGGAAGAATTTTTCTACTTTGGATGCTCAAAGCTTGGTTAGAAACTTTCGTTTCAGCCTATATTTATAGGCTTCTCCTTTGGATTAATCTCATCCGTTGGTTAGGATGAATTAATCTCTGACGTTGAAATTCTTGCAAGGACGAATTGTACATTCGTCTTCTTGTGCTGGAGCATTTATTGAGGCTGATCTCTTTGTCTTGAATAATTCGGCCGCTGAAAAATCACCTAAGGAGATAGTCCTATGTATCATACACTGCTCCGGACCCAGTACGTATTTGACATTAAATACCAGTCACATTTGTTTTCAATCATACATATTCAATGTATGTAATAAAAATGTGACATATAATTAATCTTTGAGCTAAATAATATTTGCCGGTAGGATCTAAATATCCTATTAAGGTAAATAAAAATTACCTTATTGCATTTTTACTTTTCCGGTAATATTTCTTTAGTCTCAAAAATTGTACATTTATTTTTGTCAATAAATTTAAATGCTTTTATATGAGACACAATGTACATGTGCAAAGTTTTGTGGCATCATCAAAATCTATCAAAATTGGGTACTAACAATATCATCTACATATAGTAATAAATAAATGATAGAATTATTATGGCGATAAATAAATAACGAATTATCAGATTTACTACAGGAAAAATTATGCTGAAGTAAAAAGCTACTAAACCGATGAAACCATGCTCGTGGGGCTTGCTTAAGGCCATAAATGGCCTTGCACAAACGACACATATGATTAGGAAATTGATGATGAATAAACCCACGGGGCAGACACATGTAGACTTCCTCTGTCAAATGACCATATAAAAAGGCATTTTTAACATCAAGCTGACGAATAACCCAACCAAAAGATACAGCTAAGGTAAGTACAATACGAACTGTGGTGGGTTTAATAACAGGACTAAAGGTTTCAGAAAAATCAATACCAGACTGTTGATTAAATCCCTGAGCAACTAACCGAGCTTTATGACGTTCCACAGACCCATCAAAATGATATTTCGTTTTATAAATCCACTTACAGCCAACAATATTCTTAGTATTGTTAAAGGACACCAGATCCCAAGTATTATTATTAATGAGGGCATTAAATTCATCAACCATTGCTTCCCGCCATTTTAAATGTTTATTAGCCTCAGTAAAACAAGTAGGATCCGCAGGAATAACAACTGTACTGAGATTAAAAATGGTTTTAGGTTTGAAAATTCCCGCTTTGGCACGAGTTTGCATTGGATGTTGATTGAGGACCATCGGGGGCGCAATGGAGGCGGATGAAGGAGGGCTGGTTTCGGTGTGGGAAGAGTTGGGATGGGAATAGGAATTGGGAGTGGTTGTCCTATTGTCAAGGGGTTGGACTCAAGGTTAAGGATGTCGGGGTGGAGCAGGTTGACGGGGAAGGGGAAGAGGACAACAATGGGTGGGATAGGGAAGGCGTGCTGGTGGTAGAATGCAAGAAGGGCGGTGGAGAGCTGGGGAACGAGTGAAGTTGTCCTGCGGCTGAGGGCTGGGGAACGAGTGAAGTTGGAGCAGATGGTGTGGGTGAGGTGTCGGTAAGAGCCATAGGGGATGGTCGGTTAGGGGAAGGAGATGGAATAGGCTGCCTAATGGTTTTAAAGGGATATGTATCCTCGTGAAACCTTACATGACGACTAACATACACACAGCCTGTAGTAGGATCCAAACAATGATAGCCCTTGTACCTCGGTGCATAGCCAAGAAAAACACATTGAACAGACCTAGGTGAAAGTTTATTAGCTGAGGTGGCCGAAAAATTCGGATAACATGTTGACCCAAACACACGCATAAAAGAGTAGTCAGGAACACGGTGAAAAAGTTTTTGTTATGGAGAAAATCCCTTTAATGTGGGGGGGGGGGGGGGGGGGGGTAGTCTGTTAATGATATATGCAGCTGTAAAAATTGCATCAACCCAATAGTGACTTGGAACTGAGTCTTCAAGAAGCATAGTTCGAGTTAATTCAAGAAGATGACGGTGTTTTCTCTCAGCCACCCCATTTTGTTCAGGTGTGTCAGGACAAGATTTTTGAAAATAAATTCCATTAGCTGAGAAAAATTGCTGCATATTATGATTAACAAATTCGCCTCCCCCATCACTTTGAAAAATTTTAAGTTTATGATTAAAAAGATTTTTAGCCAAAGCTTTAAAATTCTTAAAGTGTGTGAAAACTTCACTTTTGTGACACATGGGATAAAAATCCAAGTAAATCGAGAATAATCATCAATGAAGCAAACATAGTACTTGAAGCCCAAATTAGAATAAATTGGAGACTGTCACACATCAGAATGAATAATTTGTAATGGAAAAGAAGAATGATGACTAGCATCCATAAAGGGCAATCGTTGTGATTTTCCTAATCGGCAAGCAACACAATCATGAGTAAAAGGGGAGTAAGTTAGGGTTGTAAACGAATCGGATCAAACCGAATACTTGATAATATTATTTGTATTCGTATAATTATCGAATATTCATATTCGTATTCGTTTAAAATTCGAATCTTAATTTGTATTCGTATTCGATTCGTTTGATATATTCGAATCTTTTTCGAATCGAATTCGAATATTCGAATTCAAAAAAATTAAAGTTAATTTGTGAAAATAATTAAAACTATGATGTTAGTTTGCCCCTTTTAACAAATTTTCATATTACATATTTTATAGGAAACAAAATTCATTTATAGAAGTCACTTCAAATTTAATATCAATATAGATAAATCAACGGAGAATTTTAATTGTAGAAAAAGCTATTTTGACCTGGTAAAGTAAGAATTTTTAAATTAAAATATGCAAAATATTTACATGAATATTTTGTTATTAATATTTTTACATTGAACTATATGTATTCATAAGAAGTAGTATATATTGTATGAATATATGAATATATAAATATATAAATATATATATATAATTCGAATATATTCGAATATTATTCGAATCGAATATCATAGTATTTGTATTCGTATTCGTAAAGTATTCGAATCAAAAAATAGATTCGTATTCGTATTCGTATTCTACTTACTCGAATTCAAATCGGCATTTTCGAATTCGAATCACGAATCGAATCAAAATTATTCGATTCGTTTACAACCCTAGGAGTGACTACATAAGAATTGTCGACGTTTAAGAAATTGCAAAATACTATCTCCACAGTGACCTAATCTACGGTGCCACATAGGGCCAGAAGCTAAAACCGAAGCTAAAACTAAGGATGGAGATGATGGCAGATGCAGAGGATAGAGTGGTCCACTACTGGAAACTCGCAGAAGAGTTGCCCCCGAGGCTTTGTCCTTAATAAAAAAAGAATTTTTATCAAAAATGAGAGTACAGTTATTATCTGCGCAAAGTCTTTGAATTGAAATTAAATTATATTTTAACTGAGGCACATGATAAGCAGATTTTAGGGTGAGAGAACGACCAGAAGAAGGTAATGCAACATCACCAACATGACAACTGGATAAATGGGCACCATTAGCAACACTAACAGAATTATAGCCAATGTAAACAGATTTATTTTGTAAAATACCTTCGGATGCAGTCATGTGAGCTGAGGCCCCCGAATAAGGATACCATAAAGCGGGGTTAGACTCTCCAGGAGTAGTCAACAGAGCTGGACTGGACGGCTGAGTGAAGCGAGAGGGACAAGTAACCGCAGAATGACCTGTAGAAAAGCAAATTTGACACATAACGGGATGAGGAACAGATTCAAGAATACCCCCGTCTGATGGTAAGCCTGTAGAACTGGAATTAGTAACACCAACATGCAATGGATTAATATTTAAATGTGACATAGCAGAATTACAAATAACAGTACCCGTAGTCGGCACACCCCCTGCATGTGAAGAATACCTGGCTGGAACCGAAGGAGCACCCCCTGTCGGGGCATAGCCCGGCTGGCCCTGCTGCGGATACCAATACATGGGCTGCCCATATTGAACCCCCTGCTGTCCTCGTCCACGACCACCGCGTCCCCTGCCACGACCGCGGCCGCGTTGTGGCTGGCCGTGTGGACGCTGCTGATGTGTTCCCGGCTATTGAGGTCCCTGCGGCTGCTGGCCCACCGGCTGGAACCCCGTGGCAATAGCACCGAAGGCCTGGTGCATTGATGATTACTCGTGGGAGCGAAGGTAGAGAACCCGCTGCTCTAGCTCAAGAAGATGATTGCGTAGGGTCTCAAAAGGAAAATTTTGGGGGGAAAGCGAGACAGTGGTGAACAGGGACTCATACTCAGGTCCCAACCCCTTAATAGTAGTTTTGAGCACTTCACGAGGAGGGACAGGGCAATTAATTGTAGCAAGATCATCAACCAAAATTTTAATCTCCCGTAAATAATTATTCATAGATTGATCAGGTTTCTTTTTAATTTGAGAAAATAAGCGCTTTAATTCCATAGATCTGGCCAAACTGACTGACATAAACCGAGACTCTAACCGTTCCCAAATTTCACAAGGGTGTTTTAAATCCCGAACATCAATGAGAACATCACGAGAAAGAGTGGCAAATAACCATGAGCGAATTGTTTGATCAATTCGTAGCCAAATAGAAAAAGCGGGCTTGTGAATTTGACGGTTGAGCATATCTATGGAATAAGAAGGAGGTACCTGAATGGAGCCGTCAACCATGCCAAGAAGACCTTGTGAGACAAGAAAGGACTCAAACTGGGTACGCCAAGTAGTATAGTCTTCCATGCGAGGAGCTTTGCGGTAACAATATTGGTGACATTAGTAGCCTCATGAGAGATGTTGTGTACCAGGTCTGCCAAGGGGGAACCGGCTGTACTGCCCACAGTGGTCCGAGGAGGTGAGAGAGTAGAGGAGACTCCCGGTGATCCGATGAACATGGGTCCAGAAAAAGGCCCGGCCGAAAGGGGGGCGGATCCAAGGACTTCAGCTGCACTGGAGTGGGTGCTGGCCATTACATTATACATAATGATATCCCAATGTTCAAATATCAAAAAAATATCCAAGTGCAAACATTAAGTTTAAACATAACAAAAACATAAATAAAGGATTAAAATAGACATCAACTATCAAGCAAAAAGATTTAATAACTCCATAGTACACATCCACTAGTAGGTACTTTAACCCCGAAATAACATTCTCTACTAGTAATGCAGCATAAGTAAAAAGTACGTAGTAATAAACTGCCGGTAATATTTGTAATTTTTACTATGAACAAAAACAACGTAATCATCATAATATTAATTCTTTTTTAGGTGAACTCAAATAACAAACATACCTCAACAATCACCTAAAAGATATGCCTAGCTCAATCCATTATTAGATTCATTACTCCCTTTAATTTCATACGACACGATCAGAGTTTTTGAAGTTTGTTAGTCTTCAATCTTATTTAGAAGCTATTTTTACTCATATTTACGCAATAACACTCTAAATCCTCATATAAACATATCACTCTTCACAAGTTATTGTTAGACGACAAATAATAATAAATGCTTAACATTATGGCCAGCAAACATTATATGACTACTAGTAGCATTATTGGGTGGAGCAAGTTGCAGACTAACTATAACTATGAATGAATGTTCCAAATTAGCAATTGAATTGAGAGCCAGCTACATTATTTATAGATAACGTTGAAATTTCTAAGCTCTGATGGAACCAGCTAGACTCGTGAGAGTAAAAAAATAGATTTGGAATTGAGTAATTCGAATGGAATTGAGCCTAAGAGGTGGGGCAAACGTGATTTTTTGCTTTTTTTCTTCTTTTTTTTGGCAAATTTTTGCTTTAAAACATAGAAATTGCTATAATTATTTTATTTGTCATCTAATTCTTACAAAAAATCATCAAATAAATATATTGATAGTTGCTTTGGCAATCAGTTTTTCGTGCAATCTAGCTAGGTCAAATTTTATGGTAAACCTTGTGCATGGTATAACCGAATAAATTTGTGATTCTTTACAAGTTTCAGTCTAATTGTGATAGATGCATTTAACTTTCATGTTTTCTCTCAGCTCCCGTTGAGTATTCATGCTACGGGGACCTGCACAGTGCACATGCCTCTTCCATTTTTTTCTTTATTTAAATGATTGTCTCAATTGAATTTTTAAAACATTAAAGGGAATGAAAATCCGACTGAAACATCTACATCTCTTTATTTCACTAATAGTGATGCCACCAAAGGTTCCTAAAATTTCCAAAGAGAATTTTCGTTCATTTCTTAAAGGAAATTTAATTATCTTTGCTGCACTTGAATATAGTATTTACTATGTATCATTTATTTTGCATAAATACATAGTAGTTCTTTGGTTTGAATTGATTTAAATACAAGTATATAATTTTTTTACTACTTCCAAATCAGCACAAAAATGAGCATTATGTCATATTGAAATGAGTATATATAATATTTGCATGGAATCGACAATCTTTTTATACTGAATCAAATATATCTACTAATGGATTATAGGGTATCCAATCTATATAATTTAGGGGAGATTTGAGCTCAAGAGAGGGAAGAAGATGATGAATAATAGAATGTTTGTATGGAGTATGAATTAAGAACTAGGGTTACAAGTCTCCCAAAGGGAGTATAAATAGACAAATAATGGGCCGGACCGCTAATATAGGCCCGATAGGCCCAACTACATAAAAGACTAATCTAGTACATACAAATGATATAAATGACATCCGATAAGCGTGAATGGGCCGCTGTCAGGGCCCAATAGTCATGAGACCCGGAGGTCCGAGTCTATATACTCTATCAGGAGTCCCCCACTCCCTGAGTCGAGAGTACTCGAGGCGAAAGGGAGTAGAACTGTGTGCTGATCTGTCGTCGTCTGGTGAGTAAACTTCGTGAAAAAATTTGAGGCGCTAAGTCCCCCGCTCTTCCAGCCCCCCACTCCTTAAGGTGAATGTAGTGAGGTGAAGAGGAGTAGAGTGGTGCATGTCTCGTGATGTCTTCAATAGGGACCGAGGGTCGACACCTTTTGTCCACGTTGGGGAGATGCTTCGTTAAAAACCTCATTAGGAAAAAACTCTGTGGGAAAAAATCATAATGAGGGAAAAAGAGTACACCGGATGCCCCCAAAATGAAGCAAAAGGGGTGAACCCTTCGGCCTGGGCATGGACTGCAACAGTCGGCATCTGCTAAGGGGATGGCCAAGATCGGTCCTCGTATGTGCGTAGCTCAGCATGATAGGTAGTCCTAGTTATCAAATAAAGATGACTAAGAGATAGGTCGAGTGACCGTCCATGATATGATGTCTGGGTCATCAAATAAAGTGACCGAGACGTGTGGTCGAGAGGCCTATAAGAAGTCCAAGCCATCAAATACAGATGACCAGGAGAAACGGCTAAGTGGGCGATATGATGTCATCATTTAGTTGCACCTATGCATTTAAATAAATTGTTATAATTTCTTGAGCTTATAATTTCGCTATTGGATTTGGGTCTACATTGAGTGGCCTCAAATTTTCAAGCTGGAGCTCAAGCTAGGTTTCTATGCTTAGTTGGAGCGTGGCGCGCATAAAGGATTGAACCTACCGTCGGGGATTGCAGTTCATTTCCGATAGCTAGAGGGCACACATAACTCATACAAAACATAGAAACTAGAGTATGCATTTGATAACATTTGGATTGGGAGCTTACTATCCACACTCGTTTGACGTGACCCGGTGGTGCAAGATTTTAGCTCTCTTCCGGTGTACGCGAGTGCTCGGAATTCATAAGTCCATTTTTTCAATGTCAAAAAATACACACTATTTGAGAAAATAATGATAATAAACTAATAATATAGCTCAACTCGTCACTCAAGTTCGTAGTTCAAATCCGTCAGATGCGCGCTTTTGGGGATCTTTTAACGGTTGACTCGCCCCTCGAGATTGAAGTTTGGTGCTATATTATTAAAATATTCCATTTTATGATTTTTTTGTACGTCTTTTTATGAAATTTATTACTGAATATTAATAAATGGAAGGAGTTTAGACACTTAGCTTTTGAATCGAGCTAGGCTAAAGTAATGGACCTGTGCACAAACTAGGAATTGGACCTTTTGACTCATTGAGTAGCATCCCAATAATTTTGACCTAGTTGATGGCAAGCTGCTGCCAAGATTCAGCCACCTTTCATGTCTAGCATGTGGACAGCCTTGCCTGCGGCCAAGACCCAATTAGCACAGTTTATCCAGGAGGGAGTCCATAGCTACCGAGGAAGATGGCGGCGAGGCCGTCTCAGGCAGTACCAGCGGGGAGGCTTCCTCCGGCTGAGACTAGTACATTCCTCAAGCGGACCCAGCGGTAGAGTGCAACGACCGGAAGCGATGTTGTCAGGACTCCGGCAGCACCGGCGATGCTCGCTTAGGTGACGATGAGGCTTCTGGTCTGCGTGAGATTTCTGTATCCATATGGGTGCACTGGTTCGCGTTCTGTCACTCCTGAAGCTGTTGGCTGCCATTAATCCTGAAGCCTTTGGCTGCCATTAATGGTGGATGTTCAAGGTTAAGCTTGAGCGACCGAGTCAGATGGCTATGGAGTGGCCCAAGTTCGATCCTCTAGCTGCGAAGGAGACCAGCGGGATACCAGAGGTGGTGTTTAGGGCATCGACCTCCACAACGCTGCAGACAAGAAGATGGGTGCAAATCTGAACAGCACTTCGAATTTTTTGTCTTTGTTTCATCACTTTTGTATGTTGTACTTCGACATTCTTCTGCATCAATACCTTTTGATCTTCAATATGTTGATTAGTTTACTGTTTTTGTTCTTATAAGTCTGACTTTAATTTAGTTCTGTGTTGTGTTCTTATACCTTTCACTTACAACTTATTACTATTTTGTTGTTGCTTGTGTTATTATTTGTTTTTGCATTTCTTTATTCAGACATAAATATATTATATATGGATCTATTTTCTAATCACACAGTTACATATTCACATGACTGTATTATGTGATGAACTTTGTATTTGAATTTATTTCTCTGTATTTTTCCAGATTAAAATGTTGCTTATGTTAAAGGTGGATGGAAGTTGGAATGATTCCCACGTTTTCTGTAATAAAAGAACTTGTGGTCTCATAGTTCCGGATGAGACATTGTATATTCGATTTATTGCTTTGGTCTATTCATGCATTGATGCTTTTGCTGCGAATGAACGGATCAAAATTACTTATTTGGTTGAAGAATGTCCTCCTCCAGTGGTTGTTAATGATGATTACAGTTTGTGCTTTTATTTGGCTCTTAAAAAATCACAACCTGAATATGCCAAGTGTTGGTCCAAAATAGGACGCTCGTAGGCTTTTAGGAAAGCTACGTACGACACTCAAGCAAGAATTAGGAAAGTACGAATATGGAAAGTTAGCCAGAAATAGCATATCTGTATTTGAAATTCGAATTGCCTTTTATAGGCGATTACAATTGGTAACTGCCGAACATAATAATGACTAAATTAATTACAACGTTAATACAGAATTAAACACATAATTAATTCGCGCATTGATTGTTGGCCGTTACTCTTCCTGGCTGGCAGGTCAGTCTGGCTGGCAGGCTGGACGCTTGAGCTCCCTCCTGCTGGACTGGACGGTGGGCTTCCCGCTAGGCTGGAGGAAGGCTTCTGACCGGACTGGAGGCAGGCTCCCGGGTAGGCTGGACCGCAGGCTCCCAGTTGGGCTGGACCGCAGGCTCTTAGCTGGACTGGTGGTTGGCAGGCTCCTGGCTAGACTGGAAGGCAGGCTCCCCACTGGACTGGAAGGCAGGCTCCCCACTGGGCTGGAAGGCAGGCTCCCGGGTAGGCTGGACCACAGGCTCCCAGTTGGGCTGGAAGGCAGGCTTCCGGTTGGGCTGGACCGCAGGCTCCCAGCTGGGCTGGAAGGCAGGCTCCCCACTGGGCTGGAAGGCAGGCTCCCCACTGGGCTGGAAGGCAGGCTCCCCGCTGGGCTGGTCGACAGGCTCTCTTGGGCTTCCGCTCCTTGATTGCCCTGATTGGTTGGGCCGACTCGAGCTCTAGGTTGCTGGGCTTGGGCCCGCTGGTCCAAGTTCGGGGCCTGGGCCTGGTCCCATAACCCCATCACGAGTCCCCCACTCCCTCAGTCGAGTAGTAGACTCGGCTGAGAGGGAGTAGTTCAGGTCAGCTGCCTATTAAAAAATATTCACATATCAGGGAGTCATAATTGTGGATTCTATCAATCCCACAATTTATGGAGATTTCCAAATTTCGAATAAGGCATCCAACTTTAAAAGGCCCCAAATTAATTCCCTTAGCGTTCTAGCACTCCAGCAGCAAGTTTTCTCCCAGACTTCAGGATCCAGGTCAGCTTCAAAAAATCCCTGAAATTCATTCTTATTACTTCATAAATTATTTTTGGACTTTATTTCATTTTTCCTTCCTTTTCTTTTCTTTCCTTTTCTTTTCTTTCCTTCTTTTTTCTT